CACAGCTATAGTGACTTCTGAGTGGCTGGTTGCTGAACACTGAGAAATATTATTTTTCTAGATGGCCTTGTGCATGCGGAGTTTCCAGAACTCTCTTTCGAAACAAACTCGTCTTTCAAATAAGTTAAAGTTCTACTCCATGGAGCTTAAGATGGGAGGGTTCCAGTCAATTCCCGAGATGCCTTTGGGCATCACTCACACTGTTCAAGGCAAAGTAGCTGTATTCTCCTTAGTGGCCTTCAGTAGACACACTTTCCTGGGTTCCAACTTTATATATCCTTCATTCCTAGACAAACTGCAAGCTTTTCAGACTCATAAAACATGTTTTTGCTACATTTTATTTATTTACTCTGTGTGTATGTGTGTGTGCAAATGTGTGTGTATGCGCATGTGTGTGTATGTGTACCATGGGACACTTGTAGAGGTCAGAGGACAAATGGTAGGAGTTAGTTCTCTTCTTCTATCATGTGGGTCCCAGGAATCAAACTCAGGTATCAGACTTGGCATAAAGTGCCTTTACCCACTGAACCATCTCACAAGGTCTCAGACTTTTCTTCTGTTTTTTGTTCACTATTATCACTGTGGACTTGGCTAAAATCAGCCACCAATACCCACATGGCAGCCTGAATGCTGGTATGCCTTGAGATTTCTTTTCTCATATAATATAGCTCATCTGTTTGAAGGGTAGCCTTAACCAGGTCTTGTGACAAAGTAAAGAAGCAGGCTGTTCCTCACCAGCATTCAACACGAATAGCCTCTTTTCTAAGTCATAACAGTCTTCAATTCCATATGAAACTTCATGAATCCAGTGTTCACTGTCTGCAACCATATTAACATTCTGGTCTGTGGAAGTCCCACCAGAATCACTAAGCCCCTCTTTCAACCTTCTAGGAATTCTCTCGCCTGCATTTTTACGTGGTCCAGTGCCTGCCCCTCCATGTGCTGAACCAGTTCCTAAGGCTTCTGAATCACCTGGTTAGGTTTCATCACAGCAATGGCTCGAACTTCCTTAGTACCAATTTTGTGTGTTAGACATTTCATTGCTGCAATAAAATGCTTAGCTAGACGACTTAAATGAGGAAATGTTTCTTTGGGCACACAGTTCCAATCCTCTGTAGCAGGGAATACGTGCTGGAGCAGAGCAACATCCATTAAGGTGGCTAAAGAGAGAGAAACAGACTGGTTACAGAGTGAGTTGCCTTCTTCTTCTTCCTGTATTAAACACAGGCTCCCAATCTATGCAACATCACCCACAGGTATCCAGAACATGTTTTCCTCCTTAATTAATGTCCTTAGGAAATACTTTCTGAACATACAGGAACATATGCTCCACTAATCTATGTCCTCCTCAGTATAATCAAGTTGACAATCAAGAAAAGCCATTATGTCCTCACCTTTACCTGTACATAGAGGCCACCATAGACAAGGTAGTGTATATAGATACAGGCTAAGGACACCCATTGGTGCCCAGGCCACTATACTCTGGGACAGAGAAGACCAACCCAGGCCCAGTGCATAAGCGTATCTGCATCCAGCAATACAAGCACTATAGCATCATCAGTAGAGTAAGTGTATGCCCACTGACTCTGGGACCACACACTTAAATTTTCCTACACATAACTCTGAGTTAACAATATATACCTTGAACCAATGATCTAAAAAGAAGAGAATTTCTGTATAAAAGGTAAAGTTCCTGGAAATCGATACATTATCAATAAAATGGTTACTGATGTGATATGATTGAAGATCTTACATAGAAACAAAATACCTTGAAGAATGGTTCAGCTTTTATGCATATTTCAGAGACTCTGGTAAAAAGTCGGAATCTATAAATTCTTCATTGAGTTTTAAAATCACATTTGTTTATTTATCTGCTTAGTGTGGTGGTCAGAGGACGCCTTGCAAGAGTTGGTTCTTCGCTTCCACTTTGGGGCAGTGATGACTGAACTGCCGTCTTCAGACTTGGCAGCAAACACTTGCACTATATGAGCCATCTCACTGGCCTGAAAATCCAGGATTTTAGAGTAAGAGAGTTAAGGGATTCAAAACAACAGGGTTGGCTGTGTGCCCTAAGATACCCGGCAGGAAAGAAGCCACGTTCCCAGAGATAAGCCTTGTTCCTTAGCAGTTGATTGCACAGCACTGCTTGGTTGATTGTTATATTGAAGCTGTGCACTGGGCAGAAATGCCTCAAGCAGCTTCTTTCTTCCTCTGGACCCCGTTTTCCAGCTCTGCATCACCCAAGCCCACAAGTCCTTGCTTTTTAAATGCTACATGCGTGCACTAGACAGGGCGAACAAGTCTGCATAGATGTAATGCTTGTACCTGAGCATGCCCTATGTCAATGTGTCCAGGTATATATTTTTTGAGTGTCAATGAGTTTCACTATATTGGTGAATGCTTTTTTTTTATTTTTGCTTTTTGAGCTTTGATACCTAGTTACTCCTGGAAACTGCATGTTAGAATCTGCCAGCCATTGAATATACTTTGAATATTGTTTAATTGCTCACCTAAATAGTCAGGGGGCCTGTTTGATGCCCCTGTTTCAGAGTCTGACCATCGTCATTTCCCATTTCCATGGTTCGAGATTCTCTTGCTGCAAAGAAGATTCCTGCTGCCGTTGGAGCTCAGTATGTAGTTCAGACTCTGGGGCTTCAGTTATTAGACACTACTGACAATTACCCTTTCCCCTTTGTAGGCAGTGCCTATAAACTTACTCACTACATCCGGGCTATGTCCTATTCTTTCATAATCCCTTCTGACTAAAATACTGCTGAGAGAAAAAAATAAAGCAATGATTAAGGTTATTGACAAGGAAAAGAGCTATTATTGAGAATCTCTGGGTCTGAGGATAAGAATGAAGTATAAATTCATTTGTTTCAAACAAGTAATGGTATAAAATGAGAATTCTCTAAGTGTTAGAAAAGAAATGCTGCCTCATTTACTATGATTGCAGCCAGCGAAGGCTTAGATTAAAAAGAGAAGTTAAAATTATTAAGCTTTATCTGATCATGTCTTGCTAAACCTAGGAGCACAATACAAGGCTTTAAGATACAGGCGCTCATTCATGAGCATGCAGTTTTGAAAATGAAGGTTTACTGAAAATGAAGGCAGAAGCACAAAAGAGCCAAGTTACCATATCAAACATTGTCCTTCTCTTGTTATGTAGGATGCTTAATTACAGTTAAGATGTAATTATAATATGTAAAAATGTTGAACTTTGTATAATGGTTCCTTATATAATACTAAACAAAGAGGGCATTAAATGAAGAAGCAGAGGCCACAAAAAGTAAATACCCATTGTATGTCAAGGCCATTAGTCCTGGCGGTCCCTTCCTTTTTTTTTTTTTGGTGTCATTGCTCCTGTCAGAGTTTGAAGATATATGATTAAGTATGGAATTACTTTTGCCTTGACATGATTTGTGTTGTATAGAATTTAGGAGAGGGACTTTTTTTTTCCTTAAGAAAGCAGTTTAGAGGGTTGTTACAGCCTCCCTTGTCTGGCCCCAGCTGTATCTCTAGAAAATATTGGAAAATCTCTCCTCTGGTCCCATCTCCTGTCTGAAGACCTTGCCCCCATATGGAAGAAACTTATTTTACTGCAAAGGTGGAAGAGCAAGGGCCCAACATGGTATTCTTCCTTGGGTTTCCAGGAGTTGAGATCTTTATCATGAAAACCAACCTTCCCAGCTCATCCTGACTTATCCAAAGCTCTTTTCTCCATGAAGTTCCAGACATCAAAGGGAAGACTGAAATGTTTCAGCGAGGCTGAGAAGTACAGACATCAGGCAGGCAGTGGAGAAGTCCAGTACAGGGGGATAACTAAGTGGGGGGGGGGCATGTCCTTGAGATAAAGAAAACACAGACCTTGCAAAGGGCACACACTGAGAAGTCAAGATTGGGGTCCCGTGAAATTTAGGCATGCAGATGTTAGGGTGTTCTGTGACCAGAAGGAACACAGAGATGAGAAAAGCAATACAGGCAACTGCCATGAGAAAAGGTACCCATAATGCACTGTGTGTCACAGCCCCGTACTCCCCAAGAGCTTTCCAAGAACTCACTCTTTTCAACGAAGGTGAGCAACTAACCAGAATCTGGAACTGCGCCCAGGCTGTCCTCTTGCTGCCTGCTGGCTTAGATCCATGGACACTGGATAAACACAGGATAAAGAGGGCATGGTCTATCCCCATGTCGACCTGAGACCCACCTGGGGAGAAGAGTGCCACCAACAATTGTGTACACTGGCAGACAGAATTCAATACTTAAACTGTAGCACACCCAGAGACAGAGTGCACTTTAATCCCAGAGAATAAGAGCATTAGGAGCAGACACGTTTTATTATTAAACAACTTTAATCCAAATGCTGATTATTATTTGCAGTGTCTGAAGGCACAAAATATACCTAAAATGTATGGAAGAGTCTAAACAGAGTTATAAATCCACAGAGCAAAGCATGAAAAAGATACATTCTGAGCTGACACAGATAGCTGGGGTGGGAGAATCTAGGCTTTGTTCTTGTCTCCCCCTAGATAACTTGCTTGATATCAATCATTTCCCCTCATGCCAAGGATAGGGAAATTAAAAAAATGACATAAATATGGTAAAAATAACACGGGGAGGTATCTGGAACAGCCAGAAGCATTATACTTTTCTTGCAAAGATAATCTTTTTCCCTCTCCTTCTCTCTTCCTCCCTTTCCCTCCTCTCTCTCTCTCTCTCTCTCTCTCTCTCTCTCTCTCTCTCTCTCTCTCTCTCTCTCTCTCTCTCTCTCTCTCTCTCTCTCTCTCTCTCTCTCTCTCTCTCTCTCTCACCAAAACACACACACACACACACACACACACACACACACACAAAGAGAGAGAGAGAGAGAGACAGAGAGAGACAGAGAGAGACAGAGAGAGACAGAGAGAGAATCTCTACTCCTAAGCAAAGACATCCATATCCATGGTATACCAAAGAAACTAGGTCATCTTTGGGATACAGACAGGTGTAAGATAAGGCAGTGAGACCAGAGTTTGATTTTTTAAATGACTATATATATGAAAAATTAACCCTCCAGTGCAAGTTGCCCAAAGTGCTGATGAAATGAAAACAAAGCCTTTGCAAGCTAGGTAGCCCACCTAGGCTTTGCCGTGCACACCTGTCTCCACGGTCCACACACTGACTAGGGAAATGCTGATAAATCACTCTAGTCACACTAGTATCATGGAATTCCCAGTAGCCAATTATACATGACTGTGAACATTGTCTTGTTTTGTTCTGGTGCTTTTAGCTGACTCTGTGATACAGTAACTTCTTTATACTCGTTAACATCATTAGGGACTTTGGGAAATAAATTCATCCTGGGCCAGTAATTACCTTCATGAATCTATCTCTCAACTAACTCTACAAAAATATAGAAGTACAGAAGAAGTAATAGACAGAAATGGTGTGTTTCTCTGTAACCACAGACCAAGATCTTAACACCTCAATTTGTAGTTCGGGTAGGAGCTCTATACTTTTGGAACTGGATGGGGTTATGTTCTACATCCCAGCAGTGTAGGAGATCAGAGACACCTTGGTCTTCAAAATGGGAGGAAGCAGCTTACAGTGATACAGCTCAGATTCCCCCGGAGGGATCATTGCTGGTTCTACAGTTTAGTTACCCCACAAAGGGCAATGTAGAGAGGGAAGAGCCTTAGGTTAGCCTTGTTTTATCAAACAGGACTTCCCTGCAAATTCACCATCTCAGAGGATAGAAGATTCTTCCAGCCTGAAGGATCCCTGCTGTGGGCTGGTTTATTGTCTGAGGACTCCTGGTGTTGAAAACACAGTAATTCTGGAGAAAGGGCTAGTGCTGAGATCTGGTCCTGTTTAGCCAACTTTATAAAGCGCTAAAGACATGTCTTTAAGGACTATGGATAGCTTCATTAGGACTCCTCTTGAAAGAGTCAAGCTAATTCCCTACGTGGTCCTTCTTGTTTATCCTCAATCTCCCCATAATTTGGAGAAAATTCCCCTAACTCATTTCAGTGGAAGCCTTTTACCTGTGTACTTCTACTCCCTGTGTCTGTAGCTACACTTTTCTTTTGATCAGAGCTATAAGCCCTAATCCAAGCGAACAGTCTTTACCTGGTTTCTTACAATCCATATGTCATACAATCCATATGACAAATTCAACCTATAATAAAGGATGTCCCACTCAGGACAGTCTCACCTCTGCCTAGATGGTGTTGCCATCACTGACTGATTCTCCTAAGTAAAAAGAGATTTAAAAAAAAAAAAAGACCAATAATATGTTGTTCAAACACATTGATATCAAAGCCTCAGAGACTGTGACCTCAATATGGGCATCTTTTCTGAGGCCTTGGGGACAGTTGCATGCTACACACTGTGACACACAGCGACCTCAGCATCTTGAGCCTGATTGTCCAGCGCCATGTCTAGGGCAGGTCAGCCTACAGGTCAGGGACCAGATGGGTCCACACAACCTGGGCTCCAGACTCAGGCACACACTGAATCCACCCAAGGACACCGAAGGAATAATGAGGGACTTGTAAGGAAGGACAAGAGGGAAAGCTGTTGGCACAGCAGCAAGCGGCATTCGGGGCTCCTCCACGTCTTCTTTCCTCCCCAGCAGCCAGGAGCTTCTTTTCCGATGGTCCTTCCTGCCCTCGGAAGGGTCCAGGAACAGGAGGCTCCTTTGGCACTTCAGAATGATCACAAGTAATTTGCCTTTTTATTCATATAGAACAAAATTTACAAAGTCATTCATACAGTTTTTGTTGTTTTTTTGTTTTTTACTGACTTCGAAAATTGGGAATATTCAAAATACACTTTTACCCCACTCCATTCTGTCATTATTTACATTTATGTACAAGAAAAATGAAAGAGTCCGTGTGTGTATGTGTGTGTGTGTGTGTGTGTGGTCTGTGTTGTCATTTTCTTGTATTAAAAAGCTCTGCTGGTCGGGTGGGTGGGCAGACGGGCAAGAGGGCAGGCGACGGTCAGATGGAGGTGCCGTGAGAGGTGTCCAGAGCCTCTGGAAGGACGCCTCCAGGCACGGGCTGAAAGGACATGGGGATTGGGGTCTTCACAGGGCTCTGTCGGAACAGTCCTCCGTTGGGCGACCTGTGTTTGCACTGAATCGTGGGCATGGTGGCTGAGCTGCTCAGTGGCAGTGGCAGGTTGCTGCTGGGCCCTGACGACAGTGTCCGGCTGGTGCCATGGCTGCTTTGTTCAGGCAGAAAGGTGCTGACCGAGAGCTGGGTGTTCTGATACTCCCGCGTGGGCTCCAAAGCTTGGCTTGGAGCCAGGCCCCCCATCTCCAGGGCAGAGAGCTCAATGGATGCTGGGGAAATTTGCTTGTGAGCAATGTCTTCATCCATGAGGCTATTGATGCGCCGGTGCACCTGTTCCAGATTCACCTCTTTGTCCTGAGGAGAAAGGACAGGAAGGTCAACGAACATCTGTAGAGTGGACTGAGGTCAGCTTCGCTGCTAAATCCGGATACCTGGAGCTACCAGCCTGTTCAGCTTGCCAGACAGAGTATCCCTCGTTGTTCCCACCTTCCCTCAATCAGATGGTCAACTCTTGGCTATCTGGGGAATCCATACCCGAGAACACTAATCTTTGTAAAATGATGACCCCGACAGCAGGCGTCAGAAGCCTCTCTCTTCCACACTGCACTCAGCCTAGAATCTCTGGCACACCCAGGGCAACCCTATAATGAGATGCTCTAAAGAATTGGCTGAAGCAGGAAGAGATAAATAGAGTACCAGGGAAATAGAAGAAGTGATCTTGATCTCTAATATGCCCCATGCATTTGCAGTTTGAATTCACAGCTTCCTAGGCTTGATACTGTCACCCTTGCCTTACACAAAGAGGAACAGGGTCAGAGTAATTCCACTGCCTTGTGAGTCACCAACCCCATGAGTGTTAGAGGTTACCTAGAAGTCAGGTATAGAAAAGCAACACTGGCCTACCTGACCACCTAGTTTGTGTGTGTGTGTGTGTGTGTGTGTGTGTGTGTGTGTGTAGAATCTCTAGTTCATCCCAGAGGGTAAAGCATGCCCCATCTGTCAAATAGGGCATGGTGTTTAAGTGGGGAGAGGAGGGGCAGTGAGGTATCAAAAGGACTTGAGGCTTCCCAAATGGACGATTCTCACCCAAGACCCTTTAGTTTATTTATCTACTGAAGAAAGAAAATAAAAAACTTTATAATTCTTCTCAAGTAAACTGATGCTACTGATATTCTTGGGTCCCTGCCCTAGCCACGCCCACTCCCATAACCTCTGACCCGCCCATCCCCATCTTGGGACCTCTCACTCTCTCTTTCTGCTTCCTTAGCGTGCGCACGCGTTTTCTCTCTCTCTCTCCTTTTATCTCTCCTCTCTCCTTTTATCTCTTCTCTGTCTTTCTTTCTCCCCCTTCCTTAATAAATACTTATGGCTATTTCCTGTGTTTACGTGTCTGTTACCTGCCGCCACTGTGGGCCAAGGAAGCGTGCCCTCCTGTAGCTGCCCTCATGGCGGGCTCCCTCCGCCAGCCGCCCGGGGATCCTTTGTAGCCGCTTTCCCATGGCGGGCTCCGCCAGCCCGCCTGGGGACCGTTTGTAGCAGCTCTCTCATCGTTTTTTAAGAATAACATTGGTGCC